GCTAAGTATAATTACTAGTTTATAATTAAAATATTTTAACTCTTCTAGCTATTTTATATACTATTTATTTATAATTTTAGTAAGAAATAATTTAATATTAATTCTATAAAGTAGTATAAGTATATTATATAAAGCTTATTAATTAGCTATATTATTATTAAAACTTAGTAGAATACTTTAGTTTAAAGCATTTTATATATAATATAAGCTTATAGAAATTCTAGATTTAATATCTTTAATATACTAATAATTTCTTTATATATAAATTTTATAGCTATTTTATAAAGTAATAAAGTTAGCAAACTTATTTTAAATAAAAGGTATATATACTATATAAAGAGCAATTTAGTCTTTAATATTGCCTTTAATAAATAAAGTATACTTAGCTAATTTATAGAAGAAAGATATTTATTAGTTAGAAGTACTTATATAGAGGTAATACTACTAGCTTTTAATTCTAATGTTTTATTTACTAGAACTATATATATAGTATAAAGTAATTTAATCTCTTTATATAAGTAAAAACTAATTTCTATTTATATTATAATAAAAAACTAAACTAGTTCTAGTAGATATTATATATATTTAAATACTATATTTCTTAAGTTTCTTATATTTATTTAAGTACTATAAAAAATTTAGCTTAAGTACTTAAAAGTTAATATAATACTATATATTACTTTCTCTTTAGTATTAAACTTTCTCTAGAAAAATAGTTTAATAAAAGTTATAAAGCTAATTTTATAAAATTAGTACTTATACTTTTTATTATATATAGTAGTAAAGATATTTATAACTAAATTTATAAATTACTAATATTTACTTTAAGTTCTTTTTAAGAAATTAAATTACTTTAAAAAGAATTTAAATTTACTTTTACTTTATTTAAATATACTTTTTTATATAATTCTACTAGTAAACTTTATAAATAGTATATAATAAATATTAAAAATTATTATATTATTATAAATTCTAAAGAATTAATTAATTAGAATATTTATAGAAAAAAAAGTAGAATTAAATCTACTTAATAAGTTAATTTATAATTTATATATTTTACTACTATACTAATCTCTAGTAAGAAAGCTATATCTTTAGTATATATAAGCTTACTAGTTGCTAATTATATTACTAAAGAATTTTATTAATAAAGTAGTAAATTAATTTAATTAGTATTTTTTATATAAATAGTTTTAAAATCTCTTTATATAAAGGCTCTAAGCTTTTTATATATACTCTAGAAATACCTAAAAGCCTTTAAGCTAAAAGCTAGTATTATAATATTTAAAGACTAATAGTATTTTTATTTTATTTATTAAGAAGCTTATTAACTTAAAATAAAATATCTCTATAAAATATACTATACTAAAGAGATTATTAAATAGTCTCTTTAAGACTTTTAAGCTATTTATATAGTTTTAGTATATTAAAGTAGAAAATAATTTAAAATTAATTTAGAATTAATTTTAAAATAATTTAGAAATAATTTAGAAATAATTTAGAAATAATATAGAACTAGTTTTAATATAAATCTAGAATAATTATAGTATAAAGTTTAATTTATATATTAAGATAGAAGGAATTTTTTCTATATAACTTTATACTTTTAAAAAATCTAAAAATTAGAAAATCAGAAAATTATAGTAGCAGCGTTTGCAGATGCAAGCTAATGTGCGACTGTAGTGCAACGACTTACAGAGGAAAAAGATAAACTAAGAGGTGCTTCTGCACCTAAGCTAAGAGGTGCTCTACTAGGATTTAATAAGTTTAAAAAGTAAAGATGTACTAGCAAATAAAATTAGTTCTAGTAAAACTTGTACAATAAATAAAAGTAAATTTACATAATATGTTACTAATATACTGTATAAGCTGTGTATATTAGTATCTAGATTACCAAACTTTCTAGCTTGAAGTCTTCTAAACTACTATACTTAGCTTAAAACTAACTTTCAAATTCAATTAAATCTCAAATCTGTAATGCAGTGGGAAGGTGTGCCCGCTACACCAATAGACCAAAAGATCCGCCAGTACAAAGGCTTCCCTGCCTACTTGGTAGGTGACCAGTCTAGCGCAGCAACTGCCTCACAATTATCCCCCCCTTCCAGAGGCCTTATCCCGAGCCCTCTACAGAGGTAGGCCCAGCTGCCAAGGCCTATAGGTGACAAAGGTGACGGCGAGCACCACCATCAATCGCCATGGCATCAGCCCTGGCGGGTCCCGGGGACGTTGTTGTCGACGTCACAGCACAAGCCCGCCCACTAACTAGATTGGGCATTTGGCTATGCATGCGCACGGAATTTAGATGATGCGCGCACAATGTGTGGAGCCGAGCGCCTCTATTTCAGGGGTGCACACCATTCTTTCTTTTGTCGCCTAATTCTAATTCAAGGCCTCTTCGCATCATCTACGTGATTATCTAGCTTGGGTGCCCACATATCGTGTGACAGTTGTCAACTCCACTGCCAACGCAACAACGGCCTCGACATCACCACTCTTGTTCTTTCAAGACCTCGACTTCATGGTACTCGAACTCAAACTCGTCGCCTCCGCCTTGGGAATCATCTATCTAGGCTCTCACGCCGCCATCCGCCGTCCCCCTTCCGCCAGGCCCCCCAAAGGAAAGCATCCTGGTGGAAAGGCAGACGATGATGACCGCTTCTCGCAAGGGCTTGAGCCCTCTGACGCAATTCTATTTCCCGTCATGGCGGGCATCGTGCTCATGGGGCTGTACTACCTCATTCAGTGGCTCAAGGACCCAGCTGTCTTGAATAAGATTCTGAGGTACTACATGACCACTGCGTCAATAGCTAGTATCCTGACGCTTTACGCACACGGTATGGATCTGGTGACATCCTTCGTTTTCCCGACGTACTGGCGCGGCTGGAACGGATCCCTCCGAAGAGTCGACCAGCAAGCCAAAACGGTCCAGGTCTGCGACGACTCTGGAAACGTTGGTGCTGTGACGGGAAAGAACCCCCTGCCCGGCATCCTTAGCGTGTTTGCTGCCACAGAGAGAGGACAGAAAGTGGTCTGGGAGCTCAGGAGCCTGCTCACCAGACACTGGACGATAAAGCTGTTTGTCCACGGGGTGGGCGAGGAGACGGCCAAGATTCGACTTTCGCATATGATGGGGCTGTTTTTGTCCCTGGCAACCGCGCTGTTGTACTTCTCGACGCATTCGGCGTTTCTCTCAAATATGCTTGGGTATGGCATGTGCTATGGAAGCTTTCTTATCCTGTCGCCGACGGATTTCTTGACGGCTAGCTTGGTCCTGTGGGGCCTGTTCCTTTACGACGTCGTCATGGTGTTTTATACGTGAGTGCCTTGCTCATCAGGACTTGTCTCGTCTTGCTGTCGGAGAAAAGCTAACCGCTCGCAGGCCTTATATGGTGACTGTCGCCACCACCCTCGAGGTTCCCATCAAGCTCACTTTCGAGGTCGCATCGCGGAAAAGCATCCTTGGCCTCGGAGACATTGTCATCCCCGGCATGGTCATTGCCTGGGCGCTCCGTCTCGACCTGTGGCTACACTACGTGCGCAAAATAAAGTATGAACCAACCGACCTCACCATGATCACAAAGGACGAGTCCTCTGGAGAACTTGTCCGTCGTAGTGAAGTCAAGCACAAGGAAGTCAAGGCTCGTTACGTTGACGCCAAGAACAAATGGGGCGAGGGTCTCTGGACTCGCGAGAACTTTTTCCTCTCGTTTCCGTCGCAATTACCAGTCGAGCTGGCAGCCGCCCGGTTCCCCAAGACGTACTTTTACGCCGCCATGACAGGGTACACGCTCGGCATGGCTGTGACGCTGGCTATGCTGTTACTTTTCAAACGTGGGCAGCCGGCGCTACTGTATCTCGTTCCATGTGTTTTGGGCTCGATGGTGCTCACAGCGCTGGTGAGGGGGGAGTGGAAGGACATGTGGAAGTATACCGAGGACGGCAGCCTGGATACCGTGGATGTGGTTGTCGAGCTGGACGGGCAGGGAAAGGCCATCACCACGATAGGGCTGCTGGAGAATGGCATTGTAGACACGACCAAGGAGAAGCAGGACAGGACCGACGGGAAGCAGGCAGGGGACGAGAAGAAGGTCGTGGAAGCAAACCTGAAGGAGGCTACAGCGAGAAGGGGGCACAAGGTGTTTTTGCTGTCTATAGAAGCTGCCCCCGAGACTGAAGGGGAGTAGAGAGAATGCAGACAACCCAACTATCGCTTACTTACCTGACCTGACTATTGTAGTGACCTGACCTAACTATTGCTATAAGGTATATGCTACTTTCTCATTCGCTGGAAATTAAATAACTACTATAAGAACTAGTATTAGTGTTGAGGACTGGCCTTACAGGCAACTATATGTAAGCATGACTGTATGAACTACAAACTTAGAGAGAGAAGAGAGAAAACGAGAGGTTCCTCTCCCGTTTTTGTAAAATATATGTATAGGTCCAATGTGCATCTAAAGAGTAATTAACAAGGCACCAACACAGTGCCTTGTGTATACCCGAGCTTATAGCTCGAGTCTATTACAGAATATTAATAGCTATAAACTTCTACATCTATCTACTATTTGTAGTAAAGTTATTTTTGTAGACTTAAGCTACAAGTTTGTAATAGACTCGAGCTGTGAGCTCGAGTACAAACAAGGCGCTGTGTCGGTGCCTCCTCGTCGGGTACTCTTTGGATGCGCGTTGGACCACAGCCCACGGCGCTCAGGCACAGGCACAGGGCCCGAATCCACCGCCTCACCAGCTTGACCTGACCAGTAGCACCCGGGCCCGAGCGACTCCGTACGCGTTCCGAACCGTCAGCCTCGTCATCCCGCTTCCAAGGCCCAGCGTCATCATCTGTCCTCGTCCAACAGCCACGCCCATCATGACGACCGACGTCCTTCTCGAAACCTCAATGGTATGCTCGGCCCCATCCATCTCCCGGCCCCAAACCACCGTCGACGTCGTCGCTAACACGTGCCGCCCCTACCCCCCAAAGGGCCCCATCACCCTCGAGCTGTACACTACGCACGCCCCCAGAACATGCAACAACTTCGCCACCCTCGTCTCCCGGTCCTACTACGACGCGACGCCCTTCCACCGCATCATTCCCAACTTCATGATCCAGGGCGGCGACCCCACCGGCACCGGCCGCGGCGGCTCCTCCATCTACGGCGACAAATTCGACGACGAGATCCACCCCGCTCTCAAGCACACGGGCGCCGGGGTGCTGAGCATGGCCAACGCCGGGCCAAATACCAACGGATCCCAGTTTTTCATTACCCTCGCGCCCACGCCGTGGCTGGACGGGAAGCACACCATCTTCGGCAGGGTCAAGAAGGGCATGGCTGTTGTCAAGAGAATGGGAATGGTGAGGACTGGGGCGGAGGATCGGCCGGTCGAGGAGGTCAAGATTGTCTCGGGGAGGCTGCTGGACAGTGGTGACGACGAGTAGAGAGAGACATCTAACATGGGTGATTGTGAGGCAAGCAGAGGCGCTGCATGGACTTGGCGTTCCTGGAGCAATGGGAGTTAAGAGTTGCGTAGAGATGCCACGGTTTGGGATCAGGCAAATGGCAGCATTTGGCAAATTAGGCAAATTACAGAATAGAAGCGTACGTCCTATTCGCCCCGGCCCGTTTTTATATTTAGAAAACTCAGAATCTGCCAGAGACAAAACATCAAAGGACGCCCAACGCCATGGACCGAATGCCGTCCATGAATGCTAAGAATATCGGATACCCCAGGCCCATAGCCAAAGTCCTGGCCGCTCGACTGATGCAGTAGGGTTCTGAAAAAAATAATACAAAGTAATTCTCCAACGCCTCGTCGGGCATCAAGAAGGACAAACAGATTGTGTTTTTCTATATCCATGTGATTGTTCTGTATCCAAGTGTGGTGGCCACGAACGGCCAAGCTATCACGTCCACGGGGCATGTGGCGTGTGTGTTGCCAAGGACATTGTCGTTTTGAGGTTCAAGGTTCGGCGTGTTGTGCAGAAGCAGCTTGGCGTGAACAGTGACGCCAAGAGGCCTCGCCACCATCTACTTTGCTGGCGGCGATGACATTGTGTCTGATATTTCAGACATCCCATCAATGTCTTTTTTTGACAGCGGCGTACTTTGAATCGGTTTCGATGCTTTGATCTTGGTGGCCGGACTCCCATTTTTGGCTGGTTTGGGCGTGCCCTTGCCGTTGGAAGCCGGGGAAGAGTGCTCCAGTCTGTGCTCCTGACTCAATTGTGACGATGCCTTGGGCTTTTCCTTTTTGAACGTCGGCTTCGTCTTGATGATGACCTTTTTGGTCAGGTTGGGGGTGGCCTTCAGTTTTTTCTTTTGATGGCTCGTGTCGGAGTCGTCATTCTCCTCGCTGGCATCTCGTTTCCTCGGGCTGGCAGCGCGGGAGCCAGGGGCTGGCGTTGCCTTTTGTGACGACGGAGGGGTGGAATCGTTCTGGGAGTTGCCGTTGAGCTTCTGGGCCGCAGCTCGGCTGGCGTTTCGACCGCTGTTGCCAATGCAGGAGCCCATGTGGTTATTCAGTCGGGTGACGAGGATACAGCGCTTGCATTTACTGCACGTGGCGGACGGAAAAGAAAGCACATTGGGCGGTCGCTGCTCCGGAGTGCCGTCTTCTTTTTTTTCCACGTCCTTCTTCTTCTTACCTCGTCCAGGGCCGGGGGCCACCCAGCTCTGACCGTAGATGTCGCATCCGGGTTTATCAATGTATGGGTGTTTCTTGCAGTAGATGACGGCCGGGTCGGGCTTCCGCGCACCTTTGCCATCCGTCGGGTGCAATAATCGGGGCAAATGACACTTGGGGCATAGAATGTCCTGTATGGTCTGGAGCGGGTTGCCCTTGAGTAGCACTCTGCCTTCCTCATAGACGGCAAAATCTGTCTCGACTCGAATATCGGGCCTTGAATCGGGTGACGAGCTATCTGAGGCATCGGAAGCGGCCTTTTCGACTTGGATGGCTGCTGTTGTTGCTTTTGCCGTCTTTTCATCGCGGTGCGTCTTCATGACCAGATCGGACAGGACGTTGTAGAGCACATCGTCCAGGACTGAATGAACCTAAACAAGGGAGCACAGAAGAGCCAAATGTCAGCGCAAGTTGATGGCCAGTATCCGGTCGTGAAAGCTGACAAGGTGGGCAAGAGTAGCATCAGGATAGTCCACGGTAATGGCCATTTCCGGCAGCAAGGGGAGCCACGAGCAATCGCGCCTGTCACAAATGAGAATGGTATAGGCGGGTGACTATGGCATGGGGCTTGGTGATGACTCGGGGTGGCGGTGATGGTGACGGCGATGGCGATGGCGATGGCGATGATCCTGATGTCATCCAGACCAAGCGATAAAGGAAGGATAGGGAGCGCCGAGAAAAGCACTGCAGGCAGAAAGGCGACTTACCAGCCTGTCCACACTGGAAGCATCATCACGAGCGCGAATGATGCCGGCCCGCCCAGAGGTCTCGTTCATGATGGCGACTGCCTCGATGGCCTCTATCCGGCCGAGCTTGGGTCGCAACAAAATAAAATCAATTCAGGTGCCGGTCAGCGCCTTGGGGATTAAGGGAAGAGGCTGAGAGTTTTCGGGCGGCCCTGGCACCCCCCCGTGTAACGGAGTAACGGAGTCGTGTGATGATGGCCGACTAGTCCCGAGTGACGGTGACGGGGTGGAATTAGCCCAGGGTATCGATCCGGGGGGATTTCTGACGAGCACGCACTGAATCGCTCCCTCGCTCCGTCAAGAGTCGAGTGTCCAGTGGTGGTGCTGCCCGCTGGTTGGGCAGGGCTCGGGGCTCAGTGCTCGGGGCTCAGTGCTCGGGGCTCAGCAGTGCTCAGTGCTCCTCTGCTAGGGCCCAGGGGTGCTTGTCTGGGCTGGGCCCGGTGCCAGACTCACTGACTGACTCGGCGCTGGGGGTCTCGTCGTGTGGGAAACAGAGGGAGGCAGGCGCCGCATCAAAAAAAGACGGCGGTCAGACTCGAACGATGGGGTCAGTCGCAAAAGGGTGTGCGGCAGCCACCAATTAAAATGCTGATGCCACTGCTAATGACAGAGATGCAGCATGTGGTGGAGGATAGATAACCTTGCCTTGGCCGGGGGGTGAGGCCGTGATTAAAAATAACCACCGTTGAATGGTCGGGGTTCGCCGTGTCGGCCGAGTGCGATTATGAAGCATGCGAGGCTGCTCTTGTTCAGTGATGGACTGTTCTGCTGTGCGGCCGACGTTAATGTTGATGCCAAGGGAGGTCAGTGGTCAAGCCCATCCGATGGTGATGACGATGACGATGACGATGGCGATGACGATGACAAGCAGCCCACGCCTTGTGTCTTGTGCCGTGTAGTCTGCCCACAGTGACTGGTGCAAGCTTCAGGAGGGGTCTGGTCGCGATATGAAAGGCAGACATGATGTGATGCAACAGGAGATGGAAGAAAGAACAACTTACACAAGTCCAGTGCGTTCAACAGAAGGGGGGTTCTCGTCGTCTTGTCGAATACATGCATGTAGCACTGATGCTGTGCGGACTGACGGACTGACGGACTGACTGTGCAGATTGAACCCGGATGTCGGTTCGGGACATCGACTGGGAGCCAAAAGACTGAAAACAAGTAACTACCAAGGTACTCACTTAGTATACAAGTTCATACAACCAGGTACCTACGTAGTACCATACCGAGGATGCTGTGTGCCAATTGAATTTTGACAGCACACTGCACAGCTGGCGAAAATCAGAGAAGTGGTGGAAATAGCGCCTAGACAGGCCTCCGGGTTGCAGCCTTTTTGCCGGTCGAAAAAATGGGGAGGACGGCGTTAACTTTCGCCGCTCAAGCCGAGTTTTCGGGCTGCCGTCTCTTTGGTCTCAAGTTTGCTACTCATAAGCGCCTGCTTGGAACATCCAAGAACCAAGTACGGAGCACTTAAGTGCGTACCTAGGTAGTTAGGTGCCTTAGGTAAGTACTTAGGAACCTTATTCCTTCAAGTACTCTACTAAATAAGTTGAGTAGGTACCAAGTTCTTACGGGTTGCTGCCAGATAAGAAGTAAGTAACTCGAGTAGATGTGCATGTGGCCTTGACCGCCTCGACCCTCCGTAGTGGTGCTGGCATAAAGTCACATGTCACGAAGACTGGTCTTTTCAAATTTTATGCAACTTGTGCCGAACATTGAACAATTGCGACAACTCAAACCCGGCATGGAACCAGACTACGTACAGACTTGCACAGTACGGCCTGTTGATCTTGACTGATCAACCAGGTCCTGCAGATGTGGCGCCATCAATCTCAAACCACCCCCGATCCCAATGTTGGGGTGGGCATTCTTTAATCTGTATAAATGCCAGTGACCTCATCTAAGATTCGGGCCATCATATCACCCCAAGACATGGCCGCCCCGACACATGGAGGGGCGCCTGGCGCCTCCAACGCTCCAACAAACACAAGCCAAGGACCAGATGCACGGTACACATGTGTAATATGTCGCGATGCGCCAGACTCTCATGAACCAGCTGGCCCGATGCCGATGCCGATGCCGAACCCTTCCCATATAGTAGTACGTAGTTTAAACCACCACAACCAACCGCACTAAGCCAAATCCAGCACCACGTTGTCCCTACCCCTGCCCCTCTTGCCTCTCGACGCTGCCTAATTCGACCACCACCAACAGTCCATCCCAAAGTTTACTTCAATCAAACAAACCTCCGTCTCCGTCCCTCGCCAGCTTCATCCATCCATCCATCCATCCTCCTCTCCTTTTCCTCTCCTCTCCTCTTCCCCCCCCCCGCTACATCCCCCTCTTCCGCCAGTCAATCGTTTACCAGTAATGTCTCTCCCTTCGACCAAGGCGCCGCCCGCGCAGCTATCCATCCGCTCCTTCTTCCAGTCCAAACAGCCGAAATACGCACCGCCGCCATCATCACGCGACATCATGATGCCGTCAAACCCCCCCAATTCGCCTCCTCCTTCTCGCGGGCCTCCGGTTCAAACCCTCTCAATACCGCCCCCGCCGGCCAACCTTCCCCCAGAGGCGGCCATTCGCCTCATTACCGAGTCCGACATCGCACCCCTGCGGCGCATCAACTCCCTCCTCCTACAAGTCAGCTACCCAGACACCTTCTACCACAAGGCCACGGACGCGTCCTCATCAGGCCCCTTCTCGCGCGTAATCACATGGACGCACGCGGGCGAGGAGCCCAAAATCATAGGCGGCATCGTGTCTCACATAGAGTCCGACGCCGACACCTCCGCCGCGGCCGCCCCGGTCCCCCCACAGAACCTGTACATCCGCTCGCTGTGTCTGCTCTCGCCCTACCGCTCGCTGGGGCTGATGAACGCCGCGCTCGACCACGTCGTTGCCACGGCGGCCAGCGCGCCGACGCTGGATGTTCGCACCGTCACCGCCCATGTCTGGACTGAGAACGAGGAGGGCCTCCACTGGTACGAGGCGCGCGGGTTCACGCGGCTGGAGCCTCCCGTGGAGGGGTACTACTTGAAGCTGCGGCCCGATTCGGCGTGGCTCATGAAGAGGGATGTTGGCGCCAGCGTGAGGAGCAGTCTCCCCCGTGTGACTGGAAATAACGGTGTTGCGGCTTCGTCACCCCCCCTCGCAGCGAGCACAACTGCTGCGGTTGTGAATCTGCCTCCGCCGCCGCCGCCGACATCTGGTCCTCCGTCCGCGCAATCCACGCCGCCGCCGTCAGCACCATCGCCACGGGGGGAAGCTGCGAGACCAAAAGCCGTGTCGGTGCAGTCGTATCAGAGCCAACGGCCGGATACGGAATGGAACGACCTCCCGGCCGATATGGCCCAGAAGCTGGGTCCGCTGCGCATGACGGGCAGTGAGTCGGCCTCGGCGGCGAGTTCCAGGAGTAGTTCACAAGCCCCGAGGAAGAAGAAGGATCGCTCGTATCCGGCCGCCGCGTTCGCCAACTGACGAGTATATAAAGCAACCATGTGCATCAGGGACATTAACAACAGATAGAGTTTTCAACGAATGATGACGACGCATAGAAGGCATAGAGCAACGGGTCGGGGATGGAAGTTACACGGTCAGCTACATACATACGGCGAGAGAGACAGCCAAGGGTCACAAAAAATGCAAGACAAAGATGTACACAGAGAGAGAAGCACATAAACAAAAAGGTTTGCTTTGCCACGGTGCTTTGAACACACAGCTCACGACTCAGTATTTTACCCAGATATTTTGATACAGAAAAGAAGACCATGAACCCAAAGAAAAACTCCCGTTTCCATGTCCACGAAGAGAGGCTGTTGGCCGCCCACCCATCATTCACGCCCACCGCCGCCTGCTCCACCATAGGCCTGAAATCGCGGCCACCGCAATAAGACCGCCCACTAACACCAACGGTGTCATTGACCGTGCGGGATCCTCGACTGATATCGACACATTAGACGGGATCTTCTCGAGCCGTCTCTTGATATCGGAGCGCAGATCGGCAAGGAAGTCGCCGGGCTTCTCCATCCGAGCGGCAATCAAGGCGATCAACGCCGCACCAACTCCGCTTCCGTCCTTGGCGATGCCGATTCGAATCTTTGCGACCTTGTCAGCTCCAATGCCGTCGATGGCCGCAAGAGCTTCGTAGATCATGTCCCGGAAAAATGGATAGTACTCAACCAGACTCCCATCCACACCAATGTCGAGCAACTCCTCTTGGGGGTCGTCAAGCTTGCCCGACTGCAACGCAATGGCGCCAATGGCCACGGCTGACAATCTGGCGGCTCGGCGAGCGACAGCGTCGGAGATGGCTTTGAACGCCTGGGCATCTTCTAATGACGGGGCGTAAATGTCCAGTGACTTTTCCAATTCCAGCCGGATCGTAGAGAGCTCGGGGGTGTTGTCAGCCGCAGCGACGGACATGATGGCGCTGTCGAGTCCCCATGGCTCGAAGATGCTTGACTTGGGCCCAATGCTTGTGGTGGTGGATCTGTCGTTGAAGCTAGAGTTTACGTCTCGGAAAAGGCTGATGTCGTCGTCCTTGATCATGTCAACAACGGCCAGTCGTACGATTTCTCCCAGAAACATTCCTGAAACGCGCTTCTCAAACATCTGGATTCCGGGATTTACGCTTTCAACATCCAGCGCCTTATCCCAGGGAGTGGAAGGCAGGACATTGAGCTGGTTATCGAACGAGCCCCACTCGGTGTTGACGACCATTTCGCCAGTTGAACCGTCATACTCGCCTTCGATTGGCTTCTTGATCTTGGCCGTCTTTTCGATATAGGCGCCATTTGTACCAGTGCCGAAGATGCCGCCCAACAAAGAGCGGTGTTTCCCTGAAGATGTATATGATCTGGCCATCAGGGTGCCGACTGTGTCGTTGACAAGAGCCGCAACCTTGACAGGAAGGCTTAGATTGTCAATCTCGTCCTGCAACAGGCGGCAAACATCCTTGCCAACGGCGTCAGGGATGTCGAAACCCTTGGTCCAGCGAATGAGGTAACCCTTGTTGATGCCCAACTGCTTCACAGGAAAGCTAAAAGTGAATCCAAGGCGAAAAATCTGCTCGTCGCGATAGCCCATCGGGGTACTAGCCGTAGCTCTGCGGCGCGAATGACTCTCAAAGTGCTCGGCGTGGTGTTGGCGAAGGAACAGCTCAATCTGCTTGGCCAGAAAAGCAAAAAGCTCATGGGCGGTTTTCGCAACCATGAGCTCCTTGGGAACAACCACTTTGTTGTATGTTAGGTTAAAGGTCGTATCGCCGTTGAGCATGATGGAGCAGACGCGAAAGTTGGTGCCACCCAAATCAACCGCCAGGTAGAGGCCCTGTAATGCATAGAGCGTTTAGAAAGTGCTGGTCGGCGGCAGGCTGCGGGATTGCCAGCGCAGGAAAGGAGAGGCATCATGTCGTAAGTTACCTTTTCGGTGCCATTGGGAACCCCCGTAACATAGGTAGGGATCTGGCTGATGCTGGTGCCGTCGGCTTCCAAACCCTCCTCTGGCAAAAGTGGCGTCAGCTCGTTCAGCCGACGTGGGCTATGTCATGTTTACGACAGGCGGCTTTAGCCTCGCAGGCCAAACTTACGCATTTGCCTTAGAAATTCACGAACATGGACGTTGACGTCGGCGTCGGAAAGGTCGAACTGCGAGACGACTCGCTTCGTCTTGTCGGCAAGCGCCATGGTGGTGAGAGGCCTCGAGACGGGCGCCAGTACTGGAAATGGTGCAGGGTTTGCGCAAACCGACTCCGGCGGTGCGAGGACAGAGGGAGGAAAGCCGAGGCTCAGGCGAGAAGAAAAATAAGAGCTGGAATGGGTGAGGTGGAGGGGAAAGGTGAAGAAAAAGGTCGACGGCACCGGGACCAGCGAGCCGTACAGCCCGGCGTCGTGGAGCACAAAATGGATGACGAGCTGTGAGCAAAGTCAATAAATAGGCGGCCGCAGCAGGACGAGCAGTGTACAGGAGATGGAAATTGACAATTGATTGATGGAAAGGAACAGCAGCTTGAGAGTCGAGAGCTATGGGAACGTCTGGGGCTAGGCATGCGGGGACCCAGCTTTTCATGTGAGCATGGGAACTTTGAAAGCTACCAAGTAAGCTTGCTTGAGCATCCATGCTCAACGCTATTAGCGCCACCTGGGCGTGCCAACGAAAATGATGGATGGCCATTGACATCATCATGGACCATGGTCGAGATGGTGCAGTGTGGTGGCGGGTGACGGCAACGGAAATGAAGCCATGTATCGATTGCAGAACGCGAAGCCCAGACATACGTACCGCGGCTGCAGCGGCCACAAGGACTGGCGGAATAAGCCACCGGTGCCGGCTAGTCCAGCTTGCCACCGGAGTGGCCTTGTCGCTAGGAGTGTCGATGTTTGTCTTGGTGGTTGTTGGTTTCTGCATCCCCCGCCGCAGACGCCAACCGGCGCCAGTGCCTCCCTCGCTGAGCGCCGCCGTCGGGCCCGTCTGTCGATGGGACAGTACTGCGGAGCGGCCGAGGCGATGCAGATTAGGGCAGTCGTGGTTGCTGTCGTAGGTCTTCGTGACGGTCTCTGGACTCTGGAGCAGGTAATGATGCGCCGCAGCTCGGCACGCCGACTGCCTGCAAAAGACGGGCCGGATGACGACTCCACGTCCAGGGTCTCTTCAACCCCAGTCTGGTGCTGTCCGCCGCCTGGGCTGGGCCCCGTGCTCCGTGCCGCGCGCGTACAGGCCTTGGAGGATATATATCCCCGCCACCAGGCGGAGACGGATGAGCAAGCTGACGATGAGATGCGTCGCGCCCGAGTCGTGAGGCGTCAGGCGTGAGTCGTGAGCAGAGAGTCAGGGGGGAAGAGAGAGATGGAGAAGATCTGGCAACGTGGATCAAAGGCTATCAAGTTGTTTTGCAATGCTCGGTACGTCATCTCTTTTCGTCAACGCTCCCCGGTCCGGTCGAGAAGAGAGGAAGGAAGAGGCAGCGACATGAGGCGGGACTAGTCGGCCGTTCAACTTCAATGTTTGCCCTTTGACCTACCGAGGCCCTCGAGGAAGCCACCAAGTCCGCCTGCCTGCCCCGTAACTTAACTCGGTTGTTGACAACTTACAAGTGTCCTTTCGGATGGCCGACGGGCCCGCAATGCCGAAGGCTTGTTTCAGCCGACGAGGGCAGCTGGGCGCGGCCTGGCTCGCACTGCAGCGACTGCATTCGCTGCACCAGTCAACGCCTCGTTTTTTTGTGCGTTATTTCCTCCATGCCCTGCATGATGTGGATCGTCTGCCTCGTTTCCATGCATCAGGCCCCGTTCATCCGCCAGTGTGGCTTCTACAAAGGCAAAGAGGGAAGATGTTCAGTTAGCTTCATTCGAACCAGACCAGCCAGGTCCAGGTCGCTGCAAAACGACAAATGTGCCCTCATAAAAGACGTCCACTGCCTATCATACTTGACTCATAGTCCCCGACTCCATCGACAGTTGATTCACCACTGCGTCCCCGGAATCGTCCGCATCGTCAACCCCATATCCACATCACACATTTCGGCCAACGTTGTGTTTAGAATTTCATCTGTGGTTTGATGCCGACTAGATTTGTCATCTGCTGCCAAGGCGGAATTAGCTGTCGGATGCGGAGTACTTGAACCTCTCTGTCCAAGAACATTGAGAACAGCCGCGCCTCTCCTCTCATGCTACTCTAGTCGCGCACCGAGTCGAGCTGCCCTCTGGCAACCTCGCTCAAAAGACGTCTCGCCCAGGCCCAGAACAGCGTTGCGTGCTCGCTCCGTTGGTGCCCGGTAGTCTGGGGTCCCGGAGCACTCTGTTTACTTATTAAATAAATGATTGAGTTGATTGTACAAGATCGCAATGCCCAGGGTTAGCGCTAACGTGTGACCCTCTTCCTAGTTTATGCCCCAGCAGTCGACCGACAACTCGCCAGACGGATTTCGGCACTTCCGGAGCAGACACCTCGGTCCTTTCCACGGGAATTGTAAAGTCAACATTGAAGGCATGGTGCCTAAACTGAGTGACTTCCTTGAGAGCAGTCCGTGCAGAAATCGTGTTTTTCGATGATTCTCTGTCCATGCACGTTGGTTGCAGGATTGAACGCCCACGTTACCTAGTGGACAAGTCAAGTTGAAGCGAAATTGCCTCCCGAGCTGGCCCCCAGGAACGGCCCTCGACTGCCGCGAAGTATGAGTCCAATGAAACAAGCATCCTACCTATTTCCTGTCCTCTAATCGCGTTGCCAGAAACCAACATCTGGCCAAAGCCATCGATACCACGCTCCACGAGCGATACATGGGTCACAATGAACAAAGATGCTACACTCGAAAGCAAAAGGGGAGATTGCCACGGAGAGGGCAACCTGGTGAGGAACCGCGCCAGTGAACCTATGCTACATCCTTTCACCAAGAAAGAAGATCGGATTGCTATTATATGTCGACCATCCCCCGGTAATGTTTGTCTCCGGATCTGATGTCTGCTACAGGTGGAATACTGGGCGTGCTCTCTCGTTATACTTTGTGAGTATGAGCTTGTGTGCTTGAGAGTACTTTGTGTTTATAGTTTGGTATGTTCCGAATACACATGCCTTGGCACTTGACACCCAGATATCCTTCCTTGACATCTCAGTGCTGGTCTTGCTCGCCAGTCTCTCACCCCAGACCTCGAGTCTGGCTGGGTTTGTCGCGGCCGGCCTAGGAACATGGACGCCATTATAGTTTACCAACACACACACTTTCAGCCTGATACTACTTGAGTTCCAGTCGCAGAGCTGGGCGATCAGTGGCATCGAAAAATTGGGCTGCCACATGGAATATCGAGTGGAAGACTCGGGCCGCGTTCCTGTGGTCGGTCCGCATCCATGCGCGGAGCCATCATGTCGATAGATTTCGAAGTCAATTTGGAGATGCTGCCCAAGTTTGCCAAAGTATGGAAGTACTGACTACATCCGATTGTGGGTTCACACGGTGTGTTGCGCGGTACCGTCAATGGGAGAAGACGAGTCGGCGTGGCTGACGATCAAGCAAGTAACTTGTCCAAGTACTTGAGTACGGCGGCGGCCGTGCATGCGTCAGGCCTGTCAAACCGACTTGACGTGGCAGGTGGACAATTATAGACGCGGTACTCCGTACTTGGTAACTAAAAAGGTACTTACCCAGCAGCATTGGCGCATCCCGCCTTCCCCGCCTGTTGCTGTCGCACCCCGAGCTGGAGCGAAACCCCGCACACACGAGCTTGCCAAAGTCCTACATGCAAGGTAGAGTAAGTTACAAAGCAAAAAAGTCCTACATGAGGAGCGTCGGCGAGGTGTCGAGATTTAAACTGCTGTGTCCGACTCGCGAGCCGCGACGTTGATGACCTCGTATCCCGTACCCCGTGCCCCGTACCCCGTACCTCGTACTCTACTCCGTACTCCGTACCTACTTTACACAAGTACTTGGTGGGAAAGAAAACAAGGCAACGAACGGGTGTGCCAAATGCAGATGGCCACCGGTTGGGCTCGCGTAACGGAGCACGAGCGTCCTCATTGCTCCAGCACCGAGCACCGAGGACTCCGTACGTTACTGGATGAGTAAATGAAGGACGGCCGGAGTGCAGGTGAGCTGTCTGCGTCTGCGTCTGCATCGTACGCGCTCGCGCTCGAGCTCGAGCCCTCGCGCACGAGGTGGCTGGTCAGTGGTCCGCCCTCTGCTTGTGTCACCGTGGATACGCCCGAGTCCATGACATTCTCCTCTCGCTCGTCCCGCATCGTCACGGCCGACTGATGACTGGTGTCGTGGACGGACCTCGTCGTTTGTCTCTCCCTCGGTGCTTGCGCTGTTGGCGCGTCTGCTTCCTCCATCCGCTCCGCATCGCACCGCCTCGCCTCGCCTCGCAACACGTGAACTTTGCTTCGCCCGCCATCCAGCATCGCAAGCTGCTTCGTATAAAGGCCTCCAAAGTCAGTTCGTCCGAGTGGTGGTCAAGGGCTGAGCCTCCTCCATCTCAGCTCTGCGCCATCCCGACTCGCCACATGTGCTGGTCCACCACACAACCGCACAGTCTTCCGTCCGCCGTCCGGTCTTGCGCCTCCACCAAGGCCACCAAGGCCACCAAGGCCAAGGCCATCCTGGATGCTTGCTTCGTCCGCTTCTTCCAGGCGCCGGTCCCTTCTCCCTTCTCCTCCCCAGCCAGCTGCAGCCCGTCGCCGAGCCCCCCATTGTGTCCTGTGGTCCTGCGGTCGACCCTGCGGCGCTAATTTCTGACCCCGAACGTCGAGGCCCTCTCGAGTCTCGAGCCTCCTCATCCCATCCATCCTGTCAATCTGCTCAAGTACGGAGTAGCTCAGCTGCCTTACGCAAGCCCTGCCAGCCCAGCCCTGGCTCGGCCATTTCTTCCTCCCTTCTCTCCTCTCGTCCGCCTGCTCCTCAACTCATCTTCCTCCCGCCCCCTTTCCGTTCCTTCCATATGAGTTATATGAACTCCCGCCTCAAAGGCTTCGGGTTCGGAAAGCGCAAGTCGACCGCCAGCATCCAGACCGCCGACGGGGTCCCGCCCGCAGGTACCCCTCCTCCAGGCCAGCCTCTGGGCCACCCGCCAGGCCATCCTCCTCCCGGCCAAATACCTCAACACCAAGCTCCTCTCCCAGGACAGACGCCGCCCCTCGGCGCCGCGTCCTCGACTACCAGCCTCCCAATGAACCACCCGGGAGCTGGCAATCGCCCGCCGAGCTACACTGCAAATTATCCTCCCGCCGGCCCTGGCGATCGCACCTCTCCTCACCAGGGCAGCAACCGCACCCCGCCAACCCAGATGGTTGGAGGCCCTCCTCCCATCAACACCGCTGCGCCCGTCGGATATCCGCCGCCAAACATGCCTCCCATGGGCCAAGGCCCTCATCCCATGGGCGGCCCTGGCGGTCCTCCTCCAGGCTTCGGTGGACAGCAGGGATATCCGCCTGGCCCTCCGCCTCCCCCGGGAGGTCCCATTCCGCCGCAGTTCCAGCGACCCAACCTCAATCCCGCTGCTGAGGTTGAGGGCGCCAGCAAGAGCAAGGCACAGCTCATTGTTGGCATCGATTTTGTTCGTGCCGCCCCCGCCCAGACGTCTCGGCTTGTGCTGTGACCATGTCTGATGCTCGCCACTGTTGGAGGAGCAACGGCCTGGCAGTGATTTGCTAACACGTGCTGTCACGATAGGGTACCACCTTCTCCGGTGTTGCCTTCGCATTCGCCACGAACAATGAGGCGAAAGAAGATATAATCACGGAGTGGCCAGGTGCCGGTTCATATACTAAACAAAAGGTAAGAAAACATGGCCTCGAGCGCGGAGCGCTGGGAAAGAGGTGCTGACAGAGTCGCAATACCAGATCCCCACGGTGCTTTACTACGATCAGTATCAAAAGGTCGTAGGATGGGGTCCAGATATTGCTGATGCCTTGGCACCCACCGGTTACCCAAAGCCAGGGGTCCAAAAGGTGGAATGGTTCAAGTTACAGCTGATGCTCAGCGGCAATACGTATATCGACCCCATCAATCTGCCCCCTCTGCCTCCTGGTAAGTCTGAAATCGATGTGGCAGCCGACTACCTGTTTAAGCTTCGGCAAGCCATGCGATCAGCACTGCAAAAGACACTGGGAGAAGTGTTCAACCGAGAGGAGCGCAACATTCGATATTATTTGACCGTCCCTGCAATTTGGAACGATGCCGGTAAAGCCGCCACCCGAGCCGCTGCCATTCAGGCTGGTTTCCTTCGCGATGAGAACGACAACCGCTTGACGCTGGTTTCAGAACCAGAGGCTGCCGCGCTCTTCTGCTCCAAGACGGGACTGTTAAACCTCAAGGTCCACGATGCCGTTCTCATCGTGGACTGTGGTGGTGGTACTGTGGATTTGATTGCATACGAAGTTGAGGAAGAGCATCCTTTTACCGTGGCAGAGTGCACTGCTGGATCTGGAGATTCCTGTGGCTCCACCGCCTTGAACCGCAACTTCAGCAACATCCTCCGCACCAAGATTAGGAAAATGAAACTGCCAGACGCCTCCAAGACTGCTGGTCGGGTATACGGCAAGTGTATCATGGACTTTGAAAACAGAATCAAGGCCGATTTCAGAAACAACGGGCAGAAGTGGGCTGTGGATGTTGGCATCGAGGCCGAATTCCCCGAGGCCGGCATCGAGGAAGGTTACATGACTTTCACCAATGAAGAAATTCTGCAGTGCTTCGAGCCGGTTGTCAACCGGATTCTTGAGTTGGTCCGAAACCAGATTATTGCCATTCAGGCCCAGAACCGCGCGCTGCAAAACATCTTGGTGGTGGGTGGTTTCGGTGCGTCGGAGTACCTCTTCCAACAGATTAAGCTGCACGTCCCCCCACAGTTCCAGTCCAAAGTCGTGAGGCCCATGGACTCGGTGGCTGCCATCGTCAAGGGTGCGGTCACCGCTGGTATCACTGAGCGTATCATTACACACCGTGTTGCTCGTCGCCACTATCTCATGGGTACTCTGCAGCCATTCAAAGAGGGCTATCATCCCGAGGCCTACCGCGTCCCTTCGTTGGATGGAAAGGATAGATGCAAGTTCACGCGACAAATTTTCGTGCAGAAGGGTCAGAAGGTAAAGAACGGCGAACCGGTGAAAGTCTCCTTCTTCCGACAAGTTGCGCCCGGAGCGACGCTCATGTACGAAGACGTGTTGTATGCCTGCGATGACGACGTGTGCCCCGAATATACCAAGGACCCGCGTGAGTTGCCGGCCATTTGGGAGCCGTGTAATCGAGATTCAAGGGCAGCTTGGTTACTAACTATTGGGCAGGTATCAAGGAAGTCGTCACCCTCACGTCCGATCTTTCGCGCAAGAATCTCGAAAAGGACTTTGAGCGCATGGACACACCCCAGGGAACATTCTACCGCGTTTACTTTGACATCTATCTGACCCTCGACGGCTCTGAATTCAGCGCGGAATTAGTTTGCCAGGGTGAGGTCATGGGCCGATGCAGAGCTCGCTTTAGATAGACGGAAGTGGACCAAGGAAGCACGGGGCATACGGTGTTGTCGTTTGATCCGTTTTATCAGTAGAGGCCTTATATCCGGAGTTGGCATTAAATGATACCTGGGAGACAATTCAGCGCGCTAATGGAGGACGGTGGGCGACGGAACTACGAGCTACATTACACGGGCTGGATGTGACGAATGGGGCTATGAACTGTTTGGTTTCTCAACCATGAGGCAGTATCAATGTTGGTTGGATTACAGAGAACTGCGGACGAGATGTTGGAAAAAGCTGGAGAAGACCCAAGGCTGTCTTTTTCTTTTCTTCGTTTCCTTTCCTTTTTTTTTTTTCCATCTTGTTGCACAAAGCATATTTGGAGCCTGATATTTTCCACCATGCGTGGTGGCAGAGAGACGGGACGTTTTTTTAAGAATGTAAGGAACATTTCGGTAGACAATTCATGGGTGGGACAGCTGGTTCGGTGAGAGAGCGATTGAAGTACGGAGTGCAGGCCAGCATCGGAAGCTCCATTACCCCAGCAACTCGGTGGCCGTCCACATGACGCTCGGCTTCGGCGAGACGTTCGTCTACCTCAATCTCCTGTACTACGTGAGGTAAGAATCCCCTTCCCACAGCGGTAGCGGTCGACGGGGCTCCCAACTTGCCGCCGCCGCCCCTGCTTACGCCTTGTCAGCACCCTCATGCTTCACCGCGAGTACTTCCCCTTCCTGCCGACCCCGGAGTCGGAGCCACGGGGTCCAGTCGACCAGCCCATGCTGGGGGCGCCCGCCCCCGAGGGCTGGTGGGACGACAGCTCCCGACTCCTCTTCGGCGCGGCAGAGCACATCGCCGCCATTCTACACGAGGCCTCCGAGTGTGGCGTGCATCTCATGACGCCCTTTGCCGGGTTCTGCGCATTCTCAGCCGGCTACCTCAACCTCTACGTGGCGAAATACCCCCGAATGAACCTGGGCCGCAGCCCGCGAGCAAGCGACTGTCTCAAAATGTGTCTCGACTACCTGGAAAAGTTTCGACTTGTCTGGAAAATCGCCGACGGATGGGTAAGCCGCCCGCAAGCATGACACGACCGTGGCCACCGTTGCGCTAACATTGAGAGGGCGGCACGCGCAAGATCAAAACGATACACCATGCATCCGTGCTCTACGAGCGAGCAACCGAGGACCGGACACGATACCAGGGGCGCACACGAGCAGACTTTGATACTCTACACCAGTCTGTCCACGAGTTCCGTGTCGTGGATAGATCCGACGCGCATACTCGGGAGATTCGGGGCGCGGAGCGGCCCTCGGCGCAGGCGACTTGGCCGGTTCAAGGGCACGAGCACGAGCACGAGCACGAGCACGAGCTCGACACTAATACCTTGTTGAACCAGCTTTTCGCGGAAGTCAGCAATAACCTCGACGAGCAGGGGGCCTGGTCTCAATGGTGGCCGGCGATTGATCAGGTGGATCTTTAATGAGCTGCGTAATTACATCCGGGGTTTTTTTTTTCGTTGAAGCTTCCAATGAATGAGTGACGACCTTTGATTTTTTTGATTTTTTTTTTAAAAAGGGCTGTAATATCTGGTTTTCTATACATGTCCTATTTTTATTTCCCGGTCTAGAAAAACAGTCAACAGATAATGCACCTCTTCATATGGCTCCCCTCCCGTCACCGCCAACAAATGCATACCTGTCGCGTCAACCATTCGCCGTTTCTCCTTCCAATCACGCCTTTGCAAAGACCTTTCTCGAGTTCATCAGGCGAACAGCAAGCATAAAGAGCATGCCGACAAAAGGCGCCACAACCACGCCAAGAGGACGTTTTTTGAAGCAGCTAAAAAGGCACGTAAATGGCGTCTGGATTCTGTACTAGATCTACTAGAAATTTGGGACGAGAAGGGTGTACATTATAGGCGAAGAGGTTAATAGCGTTATTAGGTTGAAAATTGGCCCGCCTTGGTGTCCGGCCCGCCTTGCTGTCGAGCACCACCTTTGGTGGTGAGGGCTTTTGCTAGCCGAACCACATAAAGTGGGGCGGGCACGATTAGTAGAGAGTCGTCGGGGAGGGACATGACCGAGTGTGCGCGTGTGCCTGTGGCTGACGGACGATGGGCGAGCACCTAACCTCTGGACGGGAGGCGAGGCGGGGCGGGGGAGCAGCAGCGTGAGACAAGCACAAGCACACCGAGCAGAGGCTACTTTATGTGCGGAGTAGCCTGTTTCTGGTGAACTCTGGTCCCTGTCCCTGTCGCGATTGCCAGTCTGTCTGTCAACCGTTCAACGTTGACACGACGGGCCAGGCAGTTAGTTGGTCGGTCGGTCAGTCGTTCCTGCGTCGTGTCATGTCACGTCATGTCATGCCCTGGCCGTCACAGTCTTCGCATGGCCATGGATCCGTCCTCGGCCGACGAGTCAAACCGGCGTCTCTTCACCCTCTCCTTTCTCAAGCAGATTACGTTACTATCCTTTGCGATCCTGCTGGACAGGCTACCTGTGATGGGCGTGTGCTTGCCCGTTCCCAGAAATCATTTTTATCTTCTCTATCAGTATTACCATCATATTCGCCGCTCTGCTTTGCACCTTTCCGTGGGGTCCATTAGATCTACTGCATTATCAGATCTGCTGCCTCCATCCTGGCGCCTCCTTCATACCTTGGGAACGACGCGGCATAGCCAGCCTTCATTCGGCCCATCTTACAAGTGAATTTTCGAATGATTTGACAAGGAAGCTCGCGTCAAGTTTATCTTTCCTGGAAACAACGGCTTGGAGTATCCGAGCAGGGGTAAACCCAGCTTGTTGAGATCGACTCGTGAACTATTCGGTTGTTGGAGGAGACGAACTTGGTCGTGGCATCTGTGTCAATCCTCTACGGTGGCTTGCTTGTACTGTTACAGCTGGTTTCAAAAATCACAATTCGAACGCATCTTTCCGAGTGGACGAATATTTAAAGGACGTCACGAGATGAGAATTCCTATTCTTCGCCAACACGAAATACTCTTCTTTTGAATTTCACCACGGTCGTCGCTTGCCTCCTTTCCTGCTGCAGTAGCAACAACAGGCCGTCACCACCACCAAGGCGAGGCTTCCTTCAACTGGGAAAAGGAAGCAATGGTCAAGTCACCACCTTGTGCAGATGCGAAGCCTCCATCTCCATCCTCCATGAGTCGACTATTGTTCATCTTTGTTACCTTTGCGTCCCTCGTTCCAGCAGCTCACCTGGGAATGCCGACTCACAGAAAAGCACACTGGCAGGCCGAGTTCTTCCGCCATACGAAACGGCAAATCCCCGCAAAACGAGGTCCTCCCGAGGATTGGGAGGATAAAGTGCCGCTTGTTGTGACCAACAAATGCGAAACAACAATCTGGCCTGGCATTGCCACCCAGTCCGGTACTGGCCCCGGAACTGGGGGTTTCGAATTGGCGCCCGGAAACAACAAGACTCTGTGGGTCGCGGCAGATTGGCAGGGACGCGTTTGGGGGAGGACGAATTGCACAGTCAATGGCGAGTCGTGTGCGTGCAAAACTGGAGACTGCTTCTCCAAGCTTGACTGCGAGTTCAGTGTAAGTGTGTTTCATCCCCATCAGCCCCGTGCTTCCAACGTCGTTAAGCATTCATTGCCTTTCAGGGAGCAACCCCTGCCACGCTTGCAGAGTTCAACCTGGCCGGCGGCGTGAATGGCATGCAAACATTCTACGATATATCTTTGGTTGACGGCTACAATCTCCCCGTGGGCATCAGCTACATCCCTGGCAAGAACACAACATATATCCCCCCAAATTTGACAAACTGTGCGTGCATTGCAACGGCCGGCTGGCTCTCCAGCAACGCCAAGACTGGCACATTTTATGCCAACTCTACGTTCCCAGTTCCCTTGGAACCAGATGAGACAAACCAAAGCATCGAGAACTGGTGTCCGTGGCCCAATCTCGCCTTTCCCCCCACTAAGCCTGGGGACGGCGTGTACCCGTATCCAGACGACAACATCCAACGGCCCGCATTTTCACCTTGCAACAGTGCCTGTGCAGCAAGCGGCTCGGATGAAGATTGCTGTGTCGGAAAGTACCATGACCCAAATGTTTGCAAGCCATCGAGCTACAGCAAAGCAGTCAAGACGGTCTGTCCCGACGCATACAGCTTTGCCTTTGACGACCAAAAGTCAACTTTCATCATCCCAAAGGGAGGTGGCTGGGAGGTGGTCATGTGTCCTTCCGGTCGGTCGACTGATATTTTACGACAGCTGGGCAAAGAGTTATTCGAGTTGGCAAGCGGCGGCAGCCTGTCAATGCGGTCTATAAGGATGCTCCGGAACACCAGTTACGTCGAAACTGGCAAGGGAGCAGCTGGCGGGTTGACGCCGTCAACGGGACTGACGGCCGCTCTGCTAGCTTCACTCATTGCTTTTCTAGTCATGGCATGAGTAGACGTCGGCTCGTTTTGGTCTGGTCCCTGTCGGCATTGCGCTCGCCCCCCCAGGTAGGACGGCGGCAACGGGGGACCGTTGTGGAGTGCGTTGTGAGGCGCAAGTAGGAACAAAGACTTGCAGGATGGAATTGCAACAAGAACCTAGAGCCATATAACCTTCTGTTTCCCTCGACACAACTAGGCCTAGTAAATGCTATTCTTTTGGGGATGACCCGTCCACTTGCTGCCCGTGGTCTAGCGCTTGAATTGATTGATTGCTGGAAAAGTCCTGTTTTCCCAGGCTCACCAAAAGGGAGGGCCGAAATAGATGGAGGGAAAAGAAAAAGAGACCAAAATTCCAAGACGAATAAAAATCAAGCCAACGCTGCATAAAAAAAAAAAAAAAAAAAAAAAGGTAGAATCTAAGACATGCCCAGAAAACCAGGGCCCCCGACACACTCATCTCCGCTTGTCCCGCCTCCTCCTCTCCCACTCGGCCCTCTCCTCCTCGTCACTCCCGCTGAACTCGGCGTCGTCGTCGTCGTCGTCTCCGTCGCCGTCGCCTTCACCCTCGTGCCCCACGGCCGCCGCACGGCCCCCCCCGTCCGTCTTGTTCGCCGGCGCCGCGTCGACGGTGACAAAGTCGCCCGCATTCTGGTTCGTGTACTCGTGCTGCTGTATGAGCTGGCGCAGCTCGAGGTTGCGCGGGTCGACGAGCTGCAGGGCCGTCAGGCCGCCCTTGTTCCTGACGCGGGGGTTCGAGCCGGCCTCGAGCATCATCTCGACGAGGGCCTTGCCGAAGGCCCGCTGGGCGGGGGGCTCGGCGTTGAGCCAGCGCACGGCCGAGTGGAGCGGCGTGTCGCCCTCGAGGCGGTTGACGGGGTCGCACTCGAACGAGGGCTGGTCGAGGAGGAGGTCGATGACTTCGTCTGGGGGGCGCGGCGGTCAGCGGTCAAGGTCAAGGTCAGCGGGCGGGTTGGGCGTCGGGCGCGTCTCGGGGGGGAGGAGGGGGGGGAGTACAGTTGCCGTGCGAGGCGGCCTCGTGGTACAGGTGGTTGCCCATGACGGTGGTGGTGGTGTTGAGGAGGGCGGTGATCTCGGCGTCGGGCCTGCCGGCGAGGAGGTCGGCGAGGAGGTCGGTGTTGTTGCGGCGGCAGGCTTCGATGAGGAGCTCTTTGGTCGAGGCGCCCTGGTGGGTTGGGTTTTTATTTGTGCTTGGTCAGCGTGCTGCGGCCGCGGGGGGGCTTTTGAGGCGGCGGGCGGGTGTTTACCTCGTGTACCTCTTCGTCGGCGGGCATGGCGGCGGATGGGGGGATGGGGGGGTGAGGAAGGCCAGAGAGAGGAGAGGAGAGAGGGTGAGGAGGATGCGTGAGCGTGCCTCGAGGTGACGATGTGGTTTTGTCTCGCCGTCGGCGGTCCACCCGTGGAGGGGCAGTTGCCGGGAGGGGGGTTGCCGTCGGCCGGGAGCCTACCCTGGGCTGCACGTGGTCCCGACTTCTCGACTCTTGGCTGGGTCGGCCGGCTGCTGAACCCCACCGTGAAGAACTGTCCGCCTAGAAAATCCACCAAGACGGTGATTTTCTCCCCTCGTTGGCGATTGTCTTTTCCCGCACAGCCGCGACAACTTGGGCGCACGGCACATCTTTGGTATCTAGTTTATCTCGATACTGCTCTGGATCTACTACCGCCCCAACATAGTCGTGGCCCACTATGCTGCTATGTACGTTTCCCGAACCCCAGGAACCCCCCCCTCGAGACCGCTCGCCGTTGTTAACAGCGTGAACAAGTCTGCCCGCAATGCGCCAACATCCTCACCGTGTCCCTCACAAGCCAGCGCACCAACCGCCTCGAGTGCCGCACCTGTCCGTTTGAACACACCATCACCGAGCCCGTCTTCTCGCGCCGCGTGTTCGAGCGCAAGGAAAAGGAGGACGTCTTTGGCGGGCCCGGCGCGTGGGACAATGCACAAAAGGGCCGTGCCCAATGTCCTGCCGAAGGATGCGACGGCGACGAGGCTGCCTTCTTCCAGGTGCAGATTCGGAGTGCCGATGAGCCCATGACCAGCTTCTTCAAGTGTATGACCTGTGGGAATCGCTGGAGGGAGAATTGATTGCGTTTGGTCTGTTCGTTGCACCTCTGCCCCGTGCGCATGTAGGACTTGGGGGCCTCGAGAAGTGGTTTTTTTTTTGTTTTTGGCGTTTTATATGCTTTCTTCTTCTTGGGAGCTTGGGAGCGTGTTTCGAGGCACTTTTTTTTCCGAAGCTGGGTACGGTAGATTTCTTTTATTTTTATTTTTATTTCTTATTTTTTCATGAAAAAGAGAGAGGGCGAGAGAGAGAGAGAGAGATGCAACCCCCCAGCTCGTCAAAATTCGTCAAAATTCGGGTCCTCGTGACACGGTCGTCGTAAATCACTCCCTGTGCCACTGCACCGAAGCCTTCACCTCCTCCTCGACCAGTTTCTGCACCAGGTCGGGGCTCATAATGTCCTGCCTGAATCGCTCCTCTTGGAGGAGCTCGAGGTGCTTGAGCGTCGGGCCCGGATACGTCAGGTATTTGAGGTACGGCGGCCTCGCCCAGTACTGCAGGTAGGCGAGGTAGGCGACAAAAGCAGGCTGCGCGAGGAGTTTCTGAGAGGCGAGATGGTTGAGATAGAAGGGGTTCGCGAGGGACTGGACGAACTACGGACGCGTTAGGGCTTCACGCCTCGCTTCCGAGGACAGGACTCGGGGGGGAGGTGGCCTGGGGGTTCTCTCTGCAGGCGAGAGGAGAGAGCCGCTCGTACCTCCAGTTCAATCTCGAAGCGAGAGTAGCCGCCGTACATGGGCTCGTCGGCGGGCGGCACGGGAGGAGACGCGTCCATGGTGGGAGGAACTTGGGGGCCTTGAGAAGCATCAGCTGCCATGGTTGCGTTGGCGTTGGCCGTGGCCGTGGCCGCGACAGCCCATCGAGGCGATGCGCGGACGAACAAGGGCACCACGCGCACCGGGTCGAGGGGCGCGGGGGATGGTCTTGGCCCCGCACGTGCATGCACAACCACCATCCGTCCGTCCATCCGTCCATCCATCACTCACGACGCGGCTTGCAATTTGAAGAACTGGCTGTTTTCCGCCGCGCTCGCCCCTGCCTGCCGGCGTCGCTCTCCATCCCCCCCC